TCTTTCCGTTACAACTAATTCGATGTTTTCGTTCTCTGATCTGGAAGTCAGCAAGTTTCACTTTTTACCTTCGGTTCTGACGCTCAGCGAGATGAGCCGTCGTCCGCAACATGAACATTCATTGCTTTGGCTATATAGAGCACCCGCTTTGTGCACGTATAAAATGTACTTGATATTCTGTCCTAGTATCATCTTTACTCACGGCTTATGAAGAATGACACTGTTGCCGTTCCTACCTCTTATAAATGCTTACACGATCATTTCAGCAGGCCACAACTTCATTGTCAACTGTTTTTCTAGCAACAGTTGTCATAAGCCCTGAAACCCATTGTGGAAGTTGTGATATTTTTCACATATTGCTCGAGCAAACCTCCATTTTCATATTCTTGCGATTCGGTAATGTTTTATTTAGCCTTTAGTTTTTCCACGAAATACATACATGGATTTATTTGATCACGATGTCCGCGTTAGTTGCCATTTCACGCCTCACTGAACCTTTCATGTTTTTCAGACTCTTTCCGCTGACATTTTCCACTTTTTATTTGTAGCCTTTTTGATGTTAGTCTGTCAGTGTAAATATAGTTACCGTATTGCTATTCAGCATCTCTACCCGGTTTTGTCATGTTCCTGCGTCTTGAAGAACTTAGGACTAAACTGCGCAATCTGCAGTATTCTTCCATATTTTGTCATTACGCCTGCAGGCTTGCTATTTAAGGCAGATGGCACAGTTTTCTGCAAGCGAACATCTTTTTTCTTCCCTTCGTTATCGTTTCTTTCGTTTATGATTTCCTGCGGTAGTTCTCTTCCCTTACCCTGGAGATTTCTGTACATTGAGTCGCGTCAGCTGCTCTTCAGATTGTTCCCCATGAAATTCATGAAAGTTTTCTTGTGATCCACTTGAACAAATCAAATTTTTTACAATTATTGCCAAAATCAGTTCTTACTATATTTGTTGTTAACGTATTTCATTTCGTAAACGGGTTTCCATGTTTTAAGCCGAGAGTATCATTTTCATGTTCCTGAGCACGATAGGATACATCTAGAAAATTGTCAAATTCTTAAGACAGCAAAATATACAAAAACGTAACATCGATCTTGCTAGCGGAGTGCTAGTTTGTGATACCACCCGTAGCAAAACATTTTATGTTAATTCTGGATTTGCACAAGGTAGGGGGCGTTTTTTGTCAGTCTTGTCTAGTTATGTGGTTTTGCAACTAGGCACTGCAGGTACTAAAATTCCACGGAGCCGTGGTCTGCTTGATTGGTCACCTTGGCCACTAGAAGCAAGGATACGGTGCTCTTATGCCGTGTAAATCTGGAATTGATAGAACTTATGCATATTATGGTGTTTTTTTGACATTTCTTGGCATTTTAATCCTGGCAGAGTTTTTCTATTGTTAGTTTTAGCCTGTACTTGAAAATGTTTCATTATTAAATAAAAATATTATTCATTTTAGATCCGTTAAAGTTCCGTCGTTTAAGGAAATCGATGAATTTCAAATTAAGGTCGCTTCGTCGGTTGGTGAAGCTCCTCGTTCGAGCAGCAGACGTCGTTTTGTACGTCGCGTTATATTAGCTGCTCTGCCGTTACAAGCTTTAATGATACTGGTTTTGGGAATCGCGTGTTTGGTGCCCCATTGTGATCAAGATTTTACGTGTACCGTCGTCAATAACCTTTCTCGATCATTCCAGCCCATCCTGCATCACTTAGACGGAGGTGCTCCATTTTGAAAATGCACAGAAATTTTAGCATTGGTCGCCGTTTTTGATCCATGCGGGTTGTTTTGTGTGTACTTTTAAGAGAAAAACGTGTTCGAAACAAGTTCGATACGCTCCCGGTAACCTTCATCTGTCCGATTTTAATTTCTGTGATTTTTTGGCTGGGTTGTTTTTGTTTTACTTAAGTGAGATAATAGCTTTAGCTTCTTGCTGCGATGTTC